TAATGAATGCAAAGAGTATGAAGCAGAGGTAAAGTTATGAGATTTATTCCTTAATATATTTCTTCTATTCTAATTCTTCTAGTTGGTCATGAATAAATTATTCTTAGTGTAGATAAACTAGCATTCAAATTACTTATGCTATCAAAGTCTGCTCCTTGACTGATTTTATTCTCGCGAAAGATCTTATCACATTTGTATCGCAAGCTCTATGTTATTTGGGATTTAAAAAAACTACGATATTCTATTGTATTGCATAACTTTCATTTTTTTAGAAGAACTACTGGTAATTTTCCAAAACTAAAGTATTAAAAAGTTTGCGAGATCAGCTCTGACATGTACTACAAGTTCAGGTCAACCACTAATTTACTATTCAAGTGAGCTACCTAAACTTTATTATCAATAATGATTTCAAATGATTCTTGTTATATCCTATTTATTAAACAAGCAAATAGATCAATATGAAATAAAACAATCAATTGAGTTTTATGATAGCAAATTTCAAAAGCTTACAGTGATATGATCTAACTGTAGTTGTAAACGATTTGGTGAACCCCAATCACTGGTATTTTTTATCACGAACTCTCGCAAATTTCGTATGCAATGCTCAAAGTCATCAAATTCTTTTTGAAGTTGCTGCAATGAAAATTTTTAGATAAATGGTTCTCAAGACAAAATAATTCTACAAAAATTGAGCTAATATTATTATTTTTCATACTTTTTGAATGAATAATTCTCAACTTTAATTTGTATGTTTTTAATTTCATACACCTCAAGCCTTGCCTTGTTTAATTTGTCTAAAATTATTAAGCATTTAGGAAAGTCAGTAATTTTTGTACTGAAAAATTCGAAGTAAACTTATTGCAGCAAAGCAAAAAACAAGCGAAAATGAAAAAAGCGATAAGAAAAAGAAACGCAGTGGAATGAATGAATATAAGTGCTTGGGAACTTACCGAAATAAGCGTTCCGCTGGCAAAAGCATTCTGAAATTTAAATTTTTCAAGAAAAAAACTGCGTGAAAAAAATTGGCTGAAAATGACAGCGAAATTAGCTAAAATTTCATTGTGATAAAGCGAATAAACTAAAATGTAAGCAAAATGCAAAATAAAAATATATAAAATAGAAAACAGCGAGAAAGAGCATTTATTATTATTTTTGATGCGTGATTTTCCACTGCTTAGTTTCTGACAATAAAATGATATATTTTTTAAGTTTTAATTTTTTTTTAAATAGAATAAATAAAAGTAGTATCACTAATGAATCGAAGCAAATGATAGTTTGAAGTAAAATTATTATTATTATTACAGAAGGAAGGGTTCTTTCGAGAAGAGAAAAAAGTGAAAGAAAGTAATGGAAGTGAAGCGAAGCTGCGAAGCTCTGAAGAAACGGTACAATAATTTGAGGAAAACAATGCTAAAAGTAACGCATAGAAGCTATTTTTTTTTTGAAATATCACGTTATTAACGTGGTTTACTAAGGGAAAAATAGCGATTTAAAAATCTCAAAAGCGATTCAAGTTCAGAATGTCAAAATAAATATGCCGCCGATTGTACAATAAGCTGTTTTAATTCTCTTTTGTATCTACAGTAATTAATAATACGATCGTATCAATAGTTTTCATCAAAATTAATAACGATTACACAAAACAAGAAAACTTTTTCAAGATTGCAGTTATTTTTTCACAACTTATCAGTTTTATCAATCTTCACTGAGTTAGCAATAAAAAAGCTTAAAAATATTGCAAATACAACGCAAAAGCTATTTTTGCTTTCCTGAAACTTTCCCACTGAGATAATAAAAGCAGCATAAACTTTAATTGTTAGGCATCAATTTCAAGTGCACGTATTTTAAGTTTTATTTTCTAGCTGTATACGAAAAGTCAAAAGTAAAAAACTCGAATTATGTATCTGTAATTAAATTAAGGGATTATTCAATTGAATTATCAATTAAACAGTTCACCTTGTATTCATGAGGCACATCTAAAGCAGAAACATCGTTCGCTGCTCGACAAGACAGTATTAATTGTACGTGATTACACCACGCTTGGCATTCCGTTAAAGAGCTATCAAATTGTTCGCAGTTCCGTATAGCTGTTTGAAGTTCATCAATACGATTCTTTGCTTCAATCAAAAGTTTGTCGCGTTCTTCACAAATGTTCTCTAACTACAAAAAATACAATCAAATGTATAAATTAAAGCCCGCATTTTTAAAAATTATTAAATAAAAAAATCACTACTATACTACTGAATCAGTGTTTAGTCATTTCATTTTCGAAAAGAAAAGGATGACGATCTTTTACGAGTACAATTTTAGCAATTACTTTATAACTATAATTGTGGATAACTTTTCCAACAATACAAAACTAATACAAAATAAATCATGCTGCTTCTGAAAAAATGCACATTTCTTGATAAAATTTGCTCAAATTTTTTCAGCTAACTCACATTTGCAGTTAACCGCTCGTTTAGATTTGACAAATTAATTAAATTCTTGTCAGCCGTTTGCACAGCTTCACATAAACGTTCCAAATTCTAGAAATAACACAAACAATTCACGTCCTCTTTAATTGATTCTTCATATTCAAAAGTTACAAAAGTGATAATAAGACTAATATTCCAATTACAATTTCAGTATTTAAATGGGCAGAACTAACATCCAGATGCTCGCTAAACTCTTCAGCATCAGTAGCATCACGACTTTCTTTAATGCTACATCGTAGCTCCTCAATATTTTGCTGGAATTCTCGAATGGCACCTACAATTTGGCACTTTTACAGCATAACTTTGTATAATTATTCAAAGGTAATAATCACTCATGTCTTAACTTCCAACTTTTGCCTTCCATCTTTTATCTATTAAGTAATTTCATATATTATCGAAAACACAATTATAAACAAGGATCATTTCAAAAGTGTCTTAGCTGAAGTTTTAGAACAATTAAAGTACTTCTTACTGAAGAAAAATTTTATGTCCCTACAAACTACTGTTTAGTTTAAAAATTTTGTTCTAAACTTGATTATGTCAAAAAGAGTGAAATGAATCAAGAAATAAGTATACTCTGTTGAAGACGTTTGCATTCTTTTTCCAGTAATGCCATACTTTCGTCGATATCATCTTCTAAAGTGCTCCAGCCTGCAGAAGTTATCTGCATACGAGTTTTCAACTTTTGGAATATTCGTTCACGATTAGAAGCTGAACTACTCAGTGCTATTGACATTATTTCTTCATTTAGAATTAATGACTCTTTCTGTACCGCTAAACTTTTTTGAATATCATTTTGCAATTCCTGAAAAACTAATACTTTTTGAGCACTTTTATCACAAATTAAGCAATCCAGGAATCTATCTGACTACTTTAGTCAAGATACATATTTGCTCTTGCATCAATCACATAGAAATAAAGATTCTGAATTGCGCTCAAATATTTTTTGATAATAATGATTTTTGATGATAATTCTAAAAAAAATTTACCTACTATACAAATTCATAATTAATTTCTATATAAAATCATATTATCAAAAATCATTGTATTTATATAGATAAAGGTAAGTTTTTGTATTACTTTGATTATTTCCTTAATATTTTAACTAATTGAATAGAAACACAATATGAAGAAAAAAAGTTAAGAAGTAGACGTTAAATATACTAATTTGAACTTTTCTTAAACGTTGAAACGTTGAAAGCATATCTTATTGAAGGCAAGAAAACAAACCACAAAATGTTTGTAAAGTTCAGGAACTTCAAGTTTGGCAGTTTTCAAATTCGCAAAGCGATCTGTCAATGTGGAAAGCAATTTTTCAGATTCGGCTGCCTTTATGTCATTTCGACGACTTCTTTCTAAGTAATCCGCTAAACTTTCACGTTTTGCACTTCCCAACTTTTTTAATTGCTCAATTTTTTCGTTCTCTAACTGACAATTTTCAAGTTCTCTGAGCAAATTCTGAAATAAAACCCATTCAAAACACTTAAATAAATAATAGTTTTATTGTCGATTAAATTGGTAAACAGACTGTCATATTTGTTTTTTTTAATTAATTATATCTTCAGCTTAATTAAATATATTTTCAATCATACATTTTTACAAAATTTCCCACAGTATCTCTTCTCTACGCATTAATTAATATTAATAAATTTTTAGTACTAGCTACTGAATAAAATGAGTTGTTAAGCATGTGATTCTTGACTGTAAAGTATCAGAAATAAATTATTCACATCATAACGTTCCAATTCACTGACAAATGACTCGATATCGCCAGCACATGGAAAAGTAGTACGAAGGTAACCTTCAAAACGTCCAATGATTGCATCTTTTCCTGCTGCTAACTCATTCACTGATTTGTTCAAATTCCAAAAGCGTTTTTTCAAACTTTCAACCTTAATAAAAAAATGTTTATCACCAATAAATAACAACACTGATAAGCAATATTAAGAATGATAGTAAAGAGAGAAAGTACAGATTCCCATCTTCTTAACTTTATCAGAATTATAAAAACGTAACCTTCAAAAGCAGATCTTTCAAATTTTGTATTCTCAACATCTGCCGTGTATAGAAGAAAAAAAAGGATACAATATATGAAAAAATGAATAATTTAATTCTTGATTAAAAATAATATTGCTTTTAAAACCATCATTAAGCATTAAACTATTCAAATTAATTGCTTTCTTGGATTGAAATAGCCATCGTTATTTCTTCAAACTGACATCCGATTATTTATTATTCTGCGGATATAAAAAAATAAAGTTATGCCTGATTTTTTAAACAAATTATTGTTAGGAAATTACACACTTGTTCCTTGTTGGAATGAGTTGCTTGCAAGAATTTGATATTTTTATCCTGCTCGAGAAGTTGATTTTGTAATTTTGCCACACGTTCCTGACGTTCAGCAGTAGGTATCTGAGCACAGTTTGATACCACGTGTTCAGCTTTTTCAAAAAATTCATTTAATGTGTTGACTATTCGTTCTATTTCATCTTCGCTTTCAGCTTTAAAAAAAAATGTTGACAGCCTTAGATTTCAAAAACTTTTTGAAATTTCAAACTATTATATGTATGTTTTTTTGCATGTAGTAGAAATTAGCATGAACACTGGTTAATTTATTGAATGTTTATAAATTAAAGATAAAGTGACTATTAATATATATATTAATATATATCATTAATGAAATGAAAAATGTATACGAGATGCAATTGCAATCAAAATTTACATAATTGATATCAACTCACTTCCAGCTAAATTACTTTGCGTAGATAACGAATTTAACGTGTCAGATACTTTGCTAACAATTCTGGACCACATCAGAGTAAATTTATCAAAGGTATCGTTGGCAAGATGCAATTGCGCAGAAGAAATGTCTTGATTGTGAATTCGCTCCAATTCCGCATGTAATTCATTAACTTTTGCTTCTTTTTCTTTTATCTCTCCTAATTTTGCCTATTAAAAAAATTAAAGCTTTCATTAATGAAGTCCATCTTTGTAGAGGAAAAAAATTTCAGTCATTGCCAATACTTTAATAAATCTGTTTATATTTATTAAAATTTTCGTGTAAAAATTAAACTGTACATTAATTCAAAAATAAAAAAGTGACTGACAAGAACAATTATTTCTAAACCGATTAAAGTACTGTATCAAGCATACCTGACAAATTTGGATAACATTGCGCACTTGTTCAGGATCTCGAGTAATCTTAAACTGATATGTCCAATCAACTAATGGCTGCAGTTCTTCGCTAACTCGTTTCACATTAGCTATGAATTTATCCACAGGTGAAATTATTTGGCACGTTGACGGAGATGTTGCCGGATCTGATATCACTGTCTCGTAAGAAGTGAATTGAACTGTTGACTAAATTAAATAAATATGTCACAATAATAATAAAAACAATGAATACAGTAATAACATCGATATTACTACCAACGCAATGTGGTAAAAATGAAAAATCAAAATGTTATTATGATTATTTCATTTGTTTTTCAATACATTTTCTACTAAGAATCACAAACGTTGACACATATCCTCAACTTCGCTTGCCCAGTAAACTAGGGTATTCTACAATGCAAAAAGCAACTTGTATAGTTGTAAAATATAATAAAAAATGATGGCAAAACAGTAATAATGCTAATGGCAATAAATAATTACTCGAGCTTTGCATTTACTTAATTAAGTTTACGCTTTATCTTTACTTAATTTTCTCTCCAAATTTTGCCAGCAAAAAAATTAAAGCTTTTATTAAGTTTTTTTAATAAAGTCCAATACGAAAAAAATTTCAATTACTGCCAATTTGTTTAGGGTTATCAAAATTTTTGTATACAAAATTAAGGTGTACATTAATACTAAAATTCAAATATTTCTTGTAATCCAACAGCAATTTTTAATTTTTACCGTTGAATGCTTAGACATTTCGACTGCATCTGTACTGATATTGTCACCCGAATCAGACTCTCGCTCGACATATTGTGGTATAAATTCTCGAGCTTCAGCTTTTCCACTCTTCACTAACTAAATTGAATCCCCATTATCACAAAAAACACTCTTTAATAACAACGAAGAATATTAATTCTTTTAACTTCATAGATTAGGACTGACTGCTTTTGCAGAAATCTATCATTTTCAGCAATAAGTAACACTTTTATTACAAGAAGTCAGACATTAAAAATAGCTTACAGTTAGTTACTCAGCAATCTGAAAACTACTTAATTCATTACAAAAGCGCGAACTCAGACCACATGAGAGCATTCATCAATGTGCGCAACAATCATATCCCATCGTTTAGTGATTGTTTCCATTTGCTGTCTAATTTGATTAGCTTCAGATTCATTAGACTGTTCAATTTTAGCCAATAATTCAACAGCTAGCTGTGACAAAGCTAGAAAGTCAGGATGACCTTCTTCTAAGCTTGATTCCAATTTCTGAAGACGAGAAACTTGCTCGATCACTTCATTCTCCTGTTCTAGCTGAGGAGACAATTGTAAACCAGTCAGATCCTACAAGTATGAAACAACAATAAGCAAAACTTTTACAAACGAATTCTTGATGAAAAAAAACTTGCCCAATTTTATGTCAATTCTCAACTTTTTCATTCAATAAAATCTCAAATTCTGCTAAATTCATCTTACAAAATTCTTTTCCTCTAAAACAGTTCTACCAAATTATTTCAGAAAATTTTCTTGCAATAAGAAATTAAACTTATAACAAAAATAAATTTGCAAGGAAAAAGTTACAGCTCTTTGCTGTAAAATAAATAATTCACTAACTACAAATTCACATCACGAATTATTTTATGATATTTCACAGCTGGAAAAAGATTCTTTTTAGAAAAGATATACAGAAATGATCAACAAAAAAGTTTCATTTTTTCTTATGAAGGAAATATATGTAAGTATAGAACACTAAAAATCTTTTTTTTTAAATTTGATTGTATTTTGTAAAAGTTATCCAAGAACATTCATAATAAAGTAGACAATACTACTCGCAGAATAATATAACATAATATAATATAATTTTATTTTATTGCTTGCAGGCAAAACATACATCTAACATAATTATTTGCATTTGTTACTGTCATATTCTAAGAAGAAAAAATTGTTACTGCAATTTTACTTCTTCTCGACGATCAAGCCATTCGCAAATTTTTTCATAAACTCTTTTATACTCAGTGATTAACTCTGATAAGCCATTCAAATGTAGCGCACGCATTTCAGCCCACTCGCAAACATTCATCCACCTGTAAACACTTTTATCTACTACAATACTTCTAATTAGATAACCTAAACTATAATATAATCATTTCGTGAAAATTAAAATAATGCCCAATTTTCACTTATAAATTACTTAACACAAATTCTTGGGTGATCTTCAACATTTGTTTTTCATTTCAAATTAAAAAAAAAAAAATTAATATAATTGCAAAAATATTCAAAAGTAGATAGCAGCATTTTGTAAATTGTAATTGTCTATTTTAATTTATTAAAAAATTAAAAGACTTAGCATGCGTGATTAATAATACTTCATATTTAAACATAAATGACAAAGATAGACACACCTTTGCCCGACTGATTGCAAAAGTTTTTCTAAATTTTCGTATGAGAAGTACGTATCTGATTCGTCAACTACAGCAACAAATGTTGACAAACCTTGAACGACCTGAAATTATACATACAAATTAATTTTAATCTACTTTGTAATATTTTTATATCCAATAATTTTACATACATATCAATAATTTTTTACATAA